AAAAGAGTTGAGTGGTCATATTTATAAACAAGGATATAAAAATTCTACATAAATGATTAACAACTATATCTGGTATAGTAAAAGATGAACAAAAAAAGACACAGCAGACAAAATGTTTCAGATTGAGTAAAATACAAATATGTTTCACTTTATAATGTAAAGGGGAAGAAAACCTTCAATTAATCTCCATATATGCTTTAAATCCCTTTGCTAATATGATGTTTGTTTCATGGTGAAATACTAAAATTACCATCATTAGAGACAGGGTGCACAAAAACTGAGCCTTCTCATCAGGACTATTATTTATCATTATCTGGTATATTAGAAAAATTTTATAAAAGGACTTGAAAAAGGATTTTACAGCAAAGGCGTAGACAAACTATCACAAAATAACCTGCAAGTAAATCCCGTGTGGGGGAACAGAATGCCACATTATTGTCTTACACATCAAAATAAAATCTGGGGAAAGCAAAGGTTCTTTTTAGAGCTGCGTGTTCAGAGAAAGCTGTGGACATGTTCAGAAAAAAAAAAATTCACTAAGTCAATTATATCATGCTAATTGTTGTTGCTTCAAAACGCCAGTGTTTGTCATTATACCATACAAATGTTTTTACCAAAGTTATTCTAGCACATTTGTCTCATACATATTGTGTTGGAAGGCATTTTGATGTATTGAATCCATTAGGGCAGTTGTGTGCTTTGGCTGTTTGGTACTTGTAAATTCAGAAAATAAACAGAAGGATTAATAAAAGAATATCTAAAATGCACCTATAAGACTTCCCTGTTGGCACAGTGGTTAAGAATCAGCCTGCCAATGCAGGGCACATGGGTTTGATCCCTGGTCCAGGAAGATCCCATATGCCATAGAGCAACAAAGTCTGCGCGCCACAAATACTGAAGCAGCTTGCGTGCCTAGAGCCTGTGCTCTGCAACAAGAGAAGCCACTGCAATGAGAAGCCCATGCACCGCAAGCAAGAGTAGCCCCCTCTTGCTGCAACGAGAGTAAGCCCTAGTGCAGCAATGAAGACCCAATGCAGTCAAAAATAAAATAAAATAAAATAAAAAATAAAATAAAATGCACTATAATTTGGCTGAGAGTGCAGGGGTGATTGAGACAGATGGATCTGGTAAGTAGAGAGAAAAACCTGGCTTGGTGTTAAAGACTAGAAGGGACAATGAGTACATCTGATTTTTTACCTGGTAGGTGAATGAGGAGCAATCATGCTCTAATGCTGTGTTTTTTGAAAAAGGCTAAATAAGGGAAATGGCTTTAAGTACAGTAAATAACATATTGTAAGCATGAATCAGGGAGAAAGAGTGTTAACAGAATAAAAATACCACAAACTTCTTTTGAATTGATTTTAATAAATAAAAGAAACAAACTAAAAGCCCAGAAGTAGATAAATCAAAATTTTCAAAAAAACAATATCTTTGTCCAGATTCCAAGACTCTGAAATTACTATTCTATTACATTCAGATTTATTTGGTTTTATTCTTTTCTGAACTATAATTTTTCATTTTAAAAAACCTAAACTTAATGACCTGCAGTTATGCATCATTCTGATGATAGGAGAGTCCAATGAGAGCAGTTCATGCCCCATTCTCCACTGGCTCAGCCAATGAAGGACCTGCCTCTTAATCATATTAAATGAACCATGGTATATATGACAAACCCACAGCCAACATCATCCTCTATGGTGAAAAACTGAAAGCATTTCCACTAAGATCAGGAGCAAGACAAGGTTGCCCACTCTCACCACTCCTATTCAACATAGTTTTGCAAGTTTTAGCCACAGCCATCAGAGAAGAAAAGGAAAAAAAAGGAATCCAAATCGGAAAAGAAGAAGTAAAGCTGTCACTGTTTGCAGATGACATGATATTATACATAGAGAATCCTAAAGATGCTACCAGAAAACTACTAGAGCTAATCAATGAATTTGGTAAAGTTGCAGGATACAAAATTAATGCACAGAAATCTCTGGCATTCCTAGGCACTAATGATGAAAAATCTGAAAGTGAAATCAAGAAAACACTCTCATTTACCGTTGCAACAAAAAGAATAAAATATCTAGGAATAAACTTACCTAAGGAGACAAAAGACCTGTATGCAGAAAATTATAAGACACTGATGAAAGAAATTAAAGATGATACAAACAGATGGAGAGATATACCATGTTCTTGGATTGGAAGAATCAACATTGTGAAAATGACTCTACTACCCAAAGCAATCTATAGATTCAATGCAATCCCTATCAAACTACCACTGGCATTTTTCACAGAACTAGAACAAAAAATTTCACAATTTGTATGGAAACACAAAAGACCCCGAATAGCCAAAGCAATCTTGAGAACAAAAAATGGAGCTGGAGGAATCAGGCTGCCTGACTTCAGACTATACTACAAAGCTACAGTAATCAAGACAGTATGGTACTGGCACAAAAACAGAAAGATAGATCAATGGAATAGGATAGAAAGCCCAGAGATAAACCCATGCACATATGGTCACCTTATGTTTGATAAAGGAGGCAGGAATGTACAGTGGAGAAAGGGCAGCCTCTTCAATAAGTGGTACTGGGAAAACTGGACAGGTACACGTGAAAGTATGAGATTAGAACACTCCCTAACACCATACACAAAAATAAGCTCAAAATGGATTAAAGACCTAAATGTAAGGCCAGAAACTATCAGCCTCTTAGAGGAAAACATAGGCAGAACACTCTATGACATAAATCACAGCATGATCCTTTTTGACCCACCTCTTAGATAAATGGACATAAAAACAAAAATGAACAAATGGGACCTAATGAAACTTCAAAGCTTTTGCACAGCAAAGGAAGCCATAAACAAGACCAAAAGACAGCCCTCAGAATGGGAGAAAATATTTGCAAATGAAGCAACTGACAAAGGATTAATCTCCAAAATTTACAAGCAGCTCATACAGCTCATTATCAGAAAAACAAACAACCCAATCCAAAAATGGGCAGAAGACCTAAATAGACATTTCTCCAAAGAAGATATACAGATTGCCAACAAACACATGAAACAATGCTCAACATCATTAACCATTAGAGAAATGGAAATCAAAACTACAATGAGATATCATCTCACACCGGTCAGAATGACCATCATCAAAAAATCTATAAACAATAAATGCTGGAGAGGGTGTGGAGAAAAGGGAGCACTCTTCCACTGCTGGTGGGAATGTGAATTGGTACAGCTACTATGGAGAACAGTATGGTGGTTCCTTAAAAAAATACAAATAGAATTACCATATGCCCCAGCAATCGCACTACTGGGCATATACCCTGAGAAATCCATAATTCAAAAAGAGTCATGTACCAAAATTTTCATTGCAGCTCTATTTACAATAGCCAGGAGATGGAAACAACCTAAGTGTCCATCATTGGACGAATGGTTAAAGAAGATGTTGCACATATATACAATGGAATATTACTCAGCCATAAAAAGAAACGAAATTGAGTTATTTGTAGTGAGGTGGATGGACCTAGAGTCTGTCATACAGAGTGAAGTAAGTCAGAAAGAGAAAGACAAATACCGTATGGTAACACATATATATGGAATCTAAGAAAAAAAATGTCATGAAGAACCTAGGGGTAAGACAGGAATAAAGACACAGACCTACTAGAGAAAGGACTTGAGGATATGGGGAGGGGGAATGGTAAGCTGTGACAAAGTGAGAGAGTGGCGTGGACATATATACACTACCAAACGTAAAATAGATAGGTAGTGGGAAGCAGCCGCATAGCACAGGGAGATCAGCTAGGTGCTTTGTGACCACCTAGAGGGGTGGGATAGGGAGGGTGGGAGGGAGGGAGGCGCAAGAGGGAAGAGATATGGGAACATATGTATATGTATAACTGATTCACTTTGTTATAAAGCAGAAACTAACATACCATTGTAAAGCAATTATACCCCAATAAAGATGTTAAAAAAAAAACAACATGTAAAATAGATAGCTAGTGGGAAGCAGCCGCATAGCACAGGGACATCAGCTCAGTGCTCTGTGACCACCTGGATGGGTGGGATAGGGAGGGTGGGACGGAGGGAGATGCAAGAGGGAGGAGATATGGGAACATATGTATATGTATAGCTGATTCACTTTGTTATAAAGCAGAAAATACACACCATTGTAAAGCAATTATACTCCAATAAAGATGTAAAAAAAATGAACCATGGTAATAGATCAAGAGAAATATGACTCTCCCCCACCATACTTTTCCTCAAGCTATCTGAATATTAGGTTGATTTTATTTTTTCACCTTCCAGCATATATGCCTGACAAAATATAACCCACCACATTAACTTGGCAGGATGAAAATCTCACTAAAATTTTCTCCAGGACAGGGGTCACCAAAATGGTGTTGGTCGTGATTCCTAGCCCATCATTGCCCTCCTCCTCTTTGAGCATGACTGGTTACTCCTGGATAAGAAGAGAATGGAATGAGTGTGGTGTTGGGGAGGAGGAAGTTTGAAAAAATGGCCATTTATGCTTTCTCTTTAATATGAGGGACTTTAAAAGCAAATCTAGGATTTGTGGGCATGAGTGGAGCGTGTGAGCTCTGTACTCCCCTCTAGCAGGTTGTCAATCCAGTACTTGCCATGTTTCCTAGTGTCCATCTGGGGGTTGTGACATGCTCAGTCCTGCCCCTCACTGATCTGCTCTTGCCCTAAAATTTTTGTGGTATCCTGAAACCTGACCATGATGTCACTAAGTATTCCTTCAAAAGGTTCCTTATACAGAGGTACGTGTGAACAATATCAGCTCTTGGGAGTTGAAGTTAGGTGGTGACCATATGACTTTGGGTGGACATGATGTTTGACCAGGTATTTTGTCGTACACCACTGGGAATTTTGTTTTAAGAAAGCGTAAGTTTCATAGTTGTTGTTCTTGTTAAAATAATTGGACTGGCATAGTGAATTCTATCCCTTCTAGGAACACAGTGTCTTTTCCCAGATGGGATCTTCACAGAGAGGTGAAGGGCATTACCCAAGGTAACACAGCTATTGGGTCAGAACTGACACCAGGACCCAGGTGATCTCCTGAATCTCACTTTACTGTCTGGTCTATCAGACATGGTATTAGCCTTTGAGTGTTTGAACCTATTAGAAGTGTATAGAAACTGTGCTTCTCTGCATCAATCTGCTTGACAGGAAATACTTTAAAATAAAAGCTAATACAGTGTTAATTTGTTTGACCCATCTTAATCTCCATTTGGAGAATTAATTCAAATTAAAATTTGTAAGCATAAAATGCATGTTTTTCCCTTAACAAACTCCAACAGCTGGGGATGTCAGACATCAGGTTGAGTTCTAGGGGCTGCTTCTGCTTTTCCCTCTCCCTAAATTCTTTCTTGTGGCCTCAAATCTGCCCCCATTTGTGACTCCACAGACATGTGTTTTTGTAGGGAGGAGAGAGATGGAGGGATTACAATGGAAGTATCAGTGTTATATTTGTGATATTTATCCCATGTTGTTTTTTGTGGTTGTAGTTTGTTCATTTTCATGTCTGTATTGTAATGCATTATAGGACTATAACACTCTTTTTCTGTTAATGGACATTTGCATTGCTTTAAGTTTTGAGCTTAATAATCAGTCTTGTTCATGTCTTTTGGTGTACACAAGGACATATTTCTGTTGAAATATACCAAGAGTGAAACTGCTGAGTCAAAACGTATTCGAGTGTTTAGCCTTAGTAGATATTGACAGTTTTCCAAAGTGGCTATCAATTTACACTTCCTAGAGTAGGTATGTGGGTTCCAGTTACTCTATATCCTTGCCAACACTCAATACTGTCAGTCTTTTGATTGTTATCCATCCTCCCATTTCATAGATGGGCAAACCAACTGGGCCTAAAAGAGGTTAAATACTTTAAGTGCAAGGTCTGAATTCTAGACTTTTTCCACTAGGCCATCAACTTTTACTTTATGGGTTTCCAACTCAAGAATTAGTTGTTTCAAAAATACACAGAATAATTTTTTGTAAGTTTAAAATTGTATTAAATAAAGTTACTCCCCTTAAAAGAATGAAATGTTACCTGTACCCTGATGTGCATCTATATTAGTCCTTACTCAGCATCATATCTTAATGATGATGGTTGTGGTGGTGGCGGAGGTTTAGTTGTTCCCTTTGGTCAAAGACATGGACTGATAAAATTTTCTGTAAAGGACCATATAGTAAATATTTTACGCTATGTGCACTATCTATTATCATATTTGGTATTATCATATCCTTTCTTTAGGTTGTTCTGGTTACTATTCCTGCATAACAAATTACTTCAAAAATTAGCAGCTTAAAACGATCACTTATATTCAGGAAGTATTCAGCTGCTAGGTTCTTTAATTTTATTATTATTATTATTATTATTATTATTATTATTATTATTACCACTATTTTCTTCCAGTTTTCTTGAGATATAATTGACATGCAGCACTGTATAAATTTAAGGTGTACAGCATAATGATTTGATGATTTACATACATCATGAAATGATTATCACAATAAGTTTAGTGGACATCCATCATCTTATGTACATACAAAATTAAAGAAATAGAAAAAAATTTTTTTGTGATGAGAACTCAGGATTTACTCTCTTTTTCATATATAACATACAGCAGTGTTAATTATATTTATGTTGTACATCACATCCCTAGTAATTATTTATCTTTTTTAAAAATTATTTATCTTATATTTGGAACTTTGTACCTTTTATCTGCCTTCATCCAACTCCCCCCTCCCCCCCCACTCTAGCAACTACAAATCTGCTCTCTTTTTCTATCAGTTTGCTTATTTGTTTTTGAAGTACAATTGACCTACAACACTAAGTTAGCTCCTGTTACACAACATAGTGATTTGGAATTTCTATACATTTCAAAATGATCACTACAATAAGCCAAGTCACAATATGTCACCATACCAATATATTACATCGCCATTGACTATATTCTGCACTGCACATTTCATACCTGTGACTCATTTATTTTGCAACAGGAAGTTTGTACCTCTTAATCTCTCTCATCTATTTCTTTCCTCCCCCTAACCCCCTCCTCTCTGGCAACCACCTGTTTGTCCTCTGTATCTATAACTGTTTCTGTTTTGTTATATTTGTTTTGTTTTTTAGAATCCACATATAAGTGAAATCATACAGTATTTGTCTTTGTCTGACATTTAATTTAGCATAATACCATCTAGGTTCATTCATGTTGTCATAAATGGCAATATTTCATTCTTTTTTATGGCTGAGTAATATTCCATTATATATCACATGTTCTTTATCCATTCATCTATTGATGGGCACTTAGGTTGCTTCCATATCTGGGCTATTGTAAATAATGCTGCAGTGAACATAAGGGTACACATCTTTTGTAATTAGTGTTTTTGTTTTCTTCAGATAAATACCCAGGAGTGGAACTGCTGAATCATATGGTAGTTCTATTTTTAGTTTTTTAAGGAAACTCCATACTGTTTTCCATAGTGGCTGCACCAATTTACATTCCGACCAACAGTGCATGAGGGCTCCCTTTTCTCCACATCCTCGCCAACACTTGTTATTTGTTGTCTTTTCAATAATAGCCATTCTGACAGGTGTGAGGTGATATCTCATTGTGGTTTTGATTTGCATTTCTCTGATGATTAGCGATGTTGAGCATTTTTTCATGTGCCTGTTGGCATGTATCAGCTCTTCATTCCATTTTTATTGAAAAATAGTATTCCATTATTATACCACATTTTATTTATCCATTCATCAGATGATGGACATTAGGGATATTTCCACTTTTTAATTATTATGAATAATGATGCCAAGGACTTTTGCATACAAGTTTTTGTGTGAACGTATTTTTTCATTTCTCTTGGATCTTTACTTAGAAGTGGAATTGTCAAGTCACATGATAACTTAAGGTTTGACATTTTGAGAAACTGCCAGACAGCCTGTTTTCCACAGCGGCTGCATCATTTCCCATTCCCACCATCACTGTGTGATGGTTCTAATTTCTCTACATATTTGCAAACACTTGTTATTATCTGCCTTTTTTAATTATATCCATTCTAGTGGGTATGAAGTTGTACCTCAATGTGGTTTTAACTTGCATTTCCCTGACAGCTAATGATGTTGAACATCATGCTTATAGGTCATTTGTATATTTCCTTTGCTGAAATATCTATTCAGATCCTTTGCCCATTTTAATTTTATTTATTTATTTATTTACTGGCCACACTGCTTGGCTCGCAGGATCTGAGTTCCCTGACCAGGGATTGAACCCACACCCTTGGCCGTGATGGGCAGAGTCCTAACCACTGGACTGCCAGGGAATTCCCTGCCCATTTTTAAATTGTTTATTTTTTTATTGAGTTGTAAGTGCTCTTTGTATATTCTAGATATAAGTCCCTTATCAGACATATTACTTTCAAAAATTTTCTCCCTTTCTGTGTGTTGTCTTTTCACTTTCTTAATTGTGTCATTTAAATGAAAATTTTTACATTTTGGTGAAGCCCCATTTTTCTATATTTCTTTTATTGCTTAAGCTTTTAGTGTCATATCTAAGAAACCATTGCCTAATCCAAGATCATGAAGAATTACACCTTTATTTTCTTCTAAGAGTTTAATGGGTTTAGCTCTTATATTTAGGACTTTATTTCTTTTGAGTTAAGTTCTGTATGTGTTGTGACGTGGGAGTCCAAATTCATTTTTTGCATGTGGATATCTAGTTGTCTCACCATCATTTGTTGAAAAGACCCTTCTTTCACCACTAAATTTTCTTGGCACTCTGGTTGAAAATCAGGTGACTGTAAATCTGAGGGTTTATTTCTGTACTCTCAATTCTATTCCATTGGTCTATATGTCCTTATGCCAGTACCACATTGTCTTGATTCCTGTAGCTATATAATAAGTTTTGAAATATGGAAGTATGATATCTCAAACTTTATCCTTCCCTTTCAAGACTGTTTTTGTCTATTCTGAGTTCCTTGCATTTCCATATGAATTTTGGGATCAGCTTATCAAAATCTGCAAAGAAACCATCTGATTTTTTTTTTTTTTTTTCCTTGCATTATGCGGGCCTCTCACTGTTGTGGCCTCTCCCATTTGCGGAGCACAGGCTCCGGACGCGCAGGCTCAGTGGCCATGGCTCACGGGCCCAGCCGCTCCGCGGCATGTGGGATCTTCCCGAAACGGGGCACGAACCCGCGTCTCCTGCATCGGCAGGCGGACTCTCAAGCACTGCGCCACCAGGGAAGCCCCATCTGATATTTTGATAGAGGTTGTGTCGAGTCTGTAGATCAGCTTAGGAAGTATTGCCCATCTTAACAATATGAAGTCTTCCAATCTAGGAACATAGGCTATCTTTCCATTTATTTAGGTATTCTTTAATTTTGTTCAACAATATTTTATAGTTTTCAGTATACAAGTCTTGGACTTTCAAAATAAATTTATTTCTAAATGTTTTATCCTTTTTGATGATTTTTTTTTGAAATCTAAGCAAGTTTTTAAATTTTATTTATTTATTTATTTATTTAGCTGCCCTGGGTCTTAGTTGCAGCACGTGGGATCTTCGTTGCTGTGTGCAGGATCTTTTAGTTGCAGTATGCAGACTCTTAGTTGCAGCATGTGGACTCTTAGTTGTGGCATGCATGTGGGATCTAGTTCCCTGAGCAGGGATTGAGCCCGGGCCCCCTGCATTGGGAGTGTGGAGTCTTAACCACTGGACACCAGGGAAGTCCCTTCTTTTTGATGATATTTTGAATGGAAATGTTTCCTTACTTTCCTCTTTGAATTGTTTTTTGCTAGCATATAAAAACACAGTTGATTTTTGTATGTTGATCTTGTATTCTACCACATTGCTGAACTCTTTCTTTCTCATAGTTCTTTAGTGGATTCCTTGGGATTTTCTATATGCATGATCATGTCATTTGCAAACAGAGATAGTTTTACTTCTTTCCTTCCAATCTGGATACCTTTTGTTTCATTTTTCTTGCCTACTCTGAAAAGCATTTAAGTGTATGTCAGAAAATATGGCTCTTCATTTTCCTTTAACTATTAATTATACAAGTTTAATTTCCATAATAACCTATATCTTACTACTGATCAGAAATGCTTCCTTATCACATACTAAAAATTTTTATACCTGGGGATGTTAGTGGGCTCTCTGTTTTATTCCTCTTTCTATCTTTATTCCAGTACTACAGTGAGTTAAGATTGTAGCTTTATAAATAATTCCGCTTCATTGAACTATGAGTTCTTCCATCAGATATAAATGAAATCTACACCAGATAAGGTAGCTAGCATAATGCCTGGCAGATAGGTGGTATTCTCTAGAGGTCAAAACCACATCCTCTGGTTATCCTTTGTGTCCCACCATCCACAGTAATTTGGGGTTATGGATAGTTAATAATTAATTTTACTGCATATTGAGCACCCAACATAAAAGGATTATTTTTCTAACCAAATGTCCAAAGATAACTAGAGTAAACAAATGTACTAAGAAGATTATGTAACTAAATCTGTACCGATGGACAATTGTGATGCTCCATTTTTTTCCCTTTATAAACAAAGCCTACAGAATGACTACTGGAGCCCCAGTTCCAGCAAAGGATAAATGCATAACAAATAATTGTTATGGGAATTTAAAACCATAAAACGTTTTAAAACATAAGATTCTATTTTAGCACCTTACTAATTATCTCCATGGGTATTAGAGGTGGAATTGCTGGGCCAAAATATAAAATATTTTTATTTTTAAACAATTTACAAAGTTGCCCTTCAGAAAATTTTACCAGTACACTCAACAAGAGCAGGCAGGGTAGGGGGGTGGGAGAGGGTAGGAGCAGGAGTTTGGGATTAGCAGATGCAAACTGGTATTTATAGAATGGATAAACAACAATGTCCTACTGTAGAGCACAGGGAACTGTATTCAATATGTTTTGATAAACCATAATGGAAAAGAATATGAAAAAGAATGTATATATATATATATATATATGTATGTATGTATAACTGAGTCACTTTGCTGTACAGCAGTAGTTAACACAACATTGTAATTCAAGTGTATTTCAATAAAAAATAAATTAAAAAAAAACAAGAGCAGGGAGAAATTCATGTGTCCCCAATCCCTTAACAAATCTGTTACACATTTTAATGTAATCAAATCCATCAACGCTGTTCTTGTTTAACTTTCAGTTATTATATTTTTAAAGACCTTCTACACAGAAAGCTTATGTAAAAGCAGAGGCTAGTTATTCACAGCTTGTTATAACAAGGGAGTTAGCTCCCCTAACTTGTGTTTGGCAGAGACTTAAAGACAGGCAAGGGAATGGGAAAGCTTTAGAGTGAAAAAAAGGAAGACCAGGTTTTCTCTAATTGGAAGTTGTTGTCAGGGAAAAGCTGGAAGCCAGGTAACTAGAAGCAGCGGCATTTTGTTACTGGTTTGCGGAGCATATTTAGGTTTCTCTAATTGGGGCAGGGCAAAAATAGGGAGGCTGGCAGTCATTGATCAAGTCCTGAAGATTGCTGTAGAGGCTGTGGTTTGGCTTGCGGGGCTGCTTGCTACAGAGGTTGCGGGTCACAATTCTATTGTCATATATGGTCTGGTCATCGTCCGTTGTGTATTCAGTCTCTCACTTAAAAAAATCATTCTTTCATTCTGCTTCAAATATAATTTCATTTTCAGATCTAAATATTTAATTCATTAGAAAATTTATGTTTGAGCATACCAGGAAAAAGGGACAACTTCATTTTGACGGGAACATTTTTCTTAATTTTTTCTAAAGTGCAATATTCTACCCTTTGTACAATATTAAAGTTCACATGCGTAAGATTTCATTGGTGAGTCTACGTTCTCTCAACGGAATTTAAGAGCAACGTTATAGACTCCTCCCCCGGACCTCCCAGCCCATTAATAAAAGCTTCTGTGTTTTTTATTTAAATTGTTTCTTTGACCAACTTCTCAAGAAGAGGAAAAGGACAAAAGGGCCGGGAGAGGTTGCCTGGGGGACCTGCCGGAGGGAGGCGGTGGGCGGCTTGCAGACTCCGGCTGGTGGGCGGGGTGCGAGGGCGGAGCTCGGGTGACGCAGCGCTCACGTGACCGCCGGGCTCCGAAGTGGGCACCGGTCCGGGTGCCAGCCCTCCCTCCCTGCTGTCGGACCCGGAGCCGTCTGGGAGCCCCTAATTGTTGCTCCAGGTTCTTTCAGGTCAGTGTGAGAGCTCTCGTCGCTGCCTGCGGGACATCGGAATGGGGGAGAGGAGGAACGGACGCGGAAAGGAAAAAGGTTGGGGATGGGGTCCGGGTCGAGGGGAGCTGGCCAGAGTGTAGATAGAGATGGCGGTGGGAAAAACGGCTAAGGGGGAGCAAGCGGCCATTGGGCAGAGGATGGGGAAGGCGGACACCCCAAGTACCCATTCGCCTTTCTGCACACTTCTTCTCTACCCTCCGTCCATTTTGGAGCCGGAGATGATGAGTTGGGGGGGGGTGCCCCAGCAGTGAGACAGTGGAAATAAACCCCCTCTGGCACTCTGTGCGCAGAGTAAAAGGTGACCTCAAGGGTGGGGGGGCGAGTTTCCTCTGGGGGAGAAGGACGCAGAGATCCAAAATTAGTTTGGAAAACATCCTGGTCTGGCGCCGGAGGAGTGAACAGAAATGGCGGCTGGGGTGCTGTTGGGGCGGAGGAGGTGGGGGAGGGAAACGTTGGGTGAGGAGGACCGGCATTCGGAAAAAGGACCCGAGTCCCTGTGCATCCACCGATGCCTCATTCCCGGTCTCTTGTCTGTCTTCAGGTGTACGTGTCTGTTGTTCCCAGTGCTCTACTGGGCTAGAGAAAGAGGAGGAACCTGTCCAAAATACCCGCAGGTCAGTGAAGGAGGAGGGCACTGGACAGGGACCCAGAGGGGTGGGGAGTGTGGAGGGCACGGCCCGGGCAGAATTGGGGGCCCCACTGCCCACTTCCCAACACATTTACACACACTCTGCCATGCTGAGCAAGCGTAGGGAAAAATGGCAGGGTCTGTCTGGGAAATGGTTGGCTCACGTGTGCACAAGGAATGGTGGGGTAAAGGGTGGGCAGAAGGCACACTAGGAGGGCCGGGCCAGGTCAGGGGACCCCTGACAAGGGGTGAGAAGCGACTGCCACTATCCGGACCTGCATTCCATCCCCAAGCCCTCATCTCCCTTTTTTCCTCTTTGTCTTCTCTTCCCCTTGCCCCACCCCATCCCCCAGGACAGAAAAGGAGGGGACACTCAATATGGAAAAACTCTGCAGTGAAAATGAAGGAAAGCCTGAGAACCAAGGCAAGATGGAAAACAAAGTACAGCCACTGGATGCGGGAAAACCAGGAGTAGCTTGTACTGTGGAAGACAAGGAAAAGTTAGAAAACAGGGGAAGGACAGATCTCAAGGGAAAGACAGAAGATGAGGAAGTACTAAAGGATAAGGAAAAGCCAGAGAGTGAGGCAAAGCCAAAAGAAGGAAAGCCAGTGAGTGAGGGCAAACCAAAAGAAGGAAAACCAGAGAGTGAGAGAAAGCCAGTAAGTGAGGGAAAGCCAGTGAGCGAGGGAAAGCCAGTGAGCGAGGGAAAGCCAAAAGAAGAAAAGCCAGCCAGCGAACCAAGGGCTGCAGGAAAGCGCCCAGCTGGGGATGATGTACCCAGGAAGGCCAAAAGAAAAACCAACAAGGGGCTGGCTCAGTGTCTCAAGGAATACAAGGAGGCCATACACGATATGCATTTGAGCAATGAAGAGATGATAAGAGAATTTGATGAGATGGCCAGGGTGGAGGATGAGGTGAAGAAAACCAGACAGAAATTGGGGGGGTTTATGTGGATGCAAAAAAGTTTACAGGACCCCTTCCACCCGAGGGGCCCAAGGGAACTCAGGGGTGGCTGCAGGGCCCCACAAAGGGGCTTTGAAGACATTCCTTTTGTGTAGTGCCCCTGGCAGGCATTTGCAAGGCCCAATGCTTTATTTAACCTTATGCTAATACTATGCTTTAGGTGTCACTCTCTTTATCCAACTGCAGCCCTGTGTGTTTCAGTAGCAGATTTTCATCCATTGCATGGAAAAATGTTTATGGTGCATTGTAAAATGTTTAAAAAACCAGTTTTCAGAACCATATATATGGCATCAGTCCATTTTTGTAAAACTACAAAGATACTTATCTAGTGATCAATGTACAGAAAAAACTCGGAAAGCTGTGTCTACTAAAAGATTAACAGTGGTTATCTATGGGTGATTTTTTTCTGTTTTTTGTTCATCTGTTTATATTCTCTTTAAAAAACACAGATTACTTTTATCATAACAATAATGAAAGATAAAAAAAATAGGAAAGCAATACCAAGCAATCAAAAGTACTGTTCGGCTTATGAAGGCAGTGGAGACACATAAAATTTCTGTTGTCAGGACATGAAATGATACGTAAAAGTCACATTACCTCTGGGACTCAAAGCCGGAAGAATCAACCTGGCAATTATTATAGATCCATTATTGTAAGGGAGAGTCTTAGCATCAGTGAATTGGGGATAAAACTTGCCCTCCAGGCCTGTGGAGAATATCCGATGAGATGTTGAGTGTGTGAACTGTGTTAGGCTGGCTCCTACACTCTCTCCTGCACTAGCAGGACCAGAACCCCATCAAATGTTTGGGAGAGGGCTGAGGGAGCTCTCATGTGTGTCCATAAATAAATCCAGACAGCTGAAAGGTAGATGTCACTCTCCCCTGGGTAATGCCATGACTCTTGGGCGCTGTGCCTCTTCTAGTTTGTTCTGTACCCTTCTAAGGCCCCCACTGCTGCTGATGTGCTGGAGATCACGATGGACTAAAGCAACACAGTGTCACAACAGAAGGGTGGAGAATTCTCTACCTACAGTAGAGTTTCCCTGACTCCGGTGGGTAGCACCCAATTGTCGCTTGGGCCTTGATATTTATGAAGTTCTTATAAAACACACCTTTCCAAGTTTTTTGTTGGTTTGTGTGTGTTTTTGCATACAGCCCTCTCCACTGGATTTAGATACAGGAGATTGAGCCAGGAGAAGAATCTGAGTGACCAGATGCTGTGCTATTCTCACCTGTTAATCTCTTGTCTGCTGACATTTTCTTAGAAGGAGCTGTCCCCTAGGAAATTCCTGTTAAGCCCTGGCTTATCATTTCAGCAGACCCATCTACCTATGTGATTTTTTCCTCTGGCTCTTCATTAGCCTTTTATTTGCTTATAGTGTTTCTTTAAATAAACTTTTAGGACAGTTGTACATTTACAGAATTATTGCAAAGATATATAGATTCCATTTACCCCATACCTAATATCACCTATTATTAACAGCTTACTTTAGTTTGAAGTGTTTGTCACAATGAACCAATGTTGATACATTATTATTTACCAAAGTACATACTTTATTCATATTTCCTCAGTTTTTCCCTAATGTCCTTTTACTGTTCCAAGATCCTATCCAGGTTACCACCTTACATTTAGTCATTATGTCTCCTTAGGCTCCTCTTGACTGTGACAGTTTCTCACAATTTCCCTGTTTCTTATGCCTTGACATTCTTGAGAAGTACTGGTCAGGTACTTTGTATAGTGTACCACAATATCAGTTTGCTTGATTTTTTTCTTGTGGTTAGACAGGTGTTAAGTGCTTTTGGAAAGAAGATCACACAGGTAAAGTGGCATCATATAAAGGGTATATCCTATCAATATTATTCCTGTTGATGTTAACGTTGGTCACCTAGCTGAGGTAGTGTTTGTCAGGATTCTCCATGGTAAAGTTACTCTTATTTCTCCCTTTCCAGACTGTACTCTGGAAGAAAGTCACTCTGCACAGTCCACACTTAAAGAATGCGGTGTTATTTCAAAGTTACCTCATTTCCAAAGTTACCGCCTTGAGGATAGAGTATCTCCAACATTTATTTGGAATTCTTCAGAGGATATTTGATTTCTCCCCCGTTTATTAATGTATTCAATTTATATATAAGTATGGGCTCATTAATTTTATTCTTTGGACTATAATCTAATACTATCTTATATACTTTCATTGCTCAAATTGTTCCACTTTTGGCCATTGGAAGCTCTTTCAGTTGGCTCTTGGATCTATTTGACATACTTCCATCATTGTGTATGTGTGTGCTTTTTTAAAAAAACTCTTTCTGGCACTACAAGATGCTCTAGTCTTACCTTGGATATTTCCTGCCCAAGTCCTAGAATCAGCCATTTCTCCAAGGAGCCCTGGTACCTTTGGTTGGAGAATGGTATTAAAAACCAAGATTTGGGTGTTAGGTGTACTCGTTACTATTGGGATATCATTGCTTATAGGCCTCAGTAGACAGAGAAAGAAGATATATGGGTATATAATAACCCATGCATATATATGCATCTCTGTTTCTCTCCATATATAAGTATGTATGTGTATATATATATATGTGTCTTTATATGTTTTAAAATATATAGAGAGAAAATTTTGTCTTTAGTCTTACAGACTCCACTCATTTCCAAAGTTACCTATGCCAGTGCCTAATTTTTCCATCCCTTTCAGTGAAGTTGTTTCATGCATTTGTGATACACTTAGAGTCTTTTGTCACATCCTGTGTTGTGGGAATGCTATTATAAATGGCACTTTTAAATAATCAAATTCCAATTGTTCATTACTGGTATATAGGAAAGCAAGTAACTTTTTTTTTTTTTTTTTTTGGTACGTGGGCCTCTCACTGTTGTGGCCTCTCCCATTGCGGAGCACAGGCTCCGGACATGCAGGCTCAGCGGCCATGGCTCACGGGCCCAGCCGCTCCGCGGCATGTGGGATCTTCCCGGACCGGGGCACAAACCCGTGTCCCCTGCATCGGCAGGTGGACTCTCAACCACTGTGCCACCAGGGAAGCCCCAGCAAGTAACTTTTATATATTAACTTACATCCTGAGATCTTGTGGCCAGGAGTTTGTCAATGCTTTGGCATTTTCTACATAGACCATCATGTCATCTGCAAATATAGTTCTATTTCCTCCATTCCAATCTGTATACTTTTTATTTCCTTTTTTGTCTTACTGCACTAGCTAGGACTTCCAGTATGATGTTTAATAGGAACAATGAGAAAGGACACCCTTGGCCTGTTCCTGACCTTAGGGTTAAGTGTCTACTTTCTCACCACTAAGTATAATGTTAGTTTCATGTATTCTTTATCAAATTGAGGAAGTTCCCTCTAATCCTAGTTTGAGAGCTTTTATCATGATTGGGTGTTGGATTCTGTCAAGTGCTTTTTATGCATCAAATAATAAAGATCATATGATTTTTCTTCTTTAGTCTGTTAACATGTGGTGGATTATATTGATTGATTTTCATATGTTGAGTCAGCCTTGAATACCTAGAATAAATTTCACTTGTTTGGTGCCTAACTTTTTATACATTATTGGATTCAATTTCATAATATTTTGTTGAGGATTTTGTGTCTGCATTCATTAGAAATATTGGTCTTTAGTTTTGCTTTCTTGTAGTATATTTTATCTGGTTTTGGAATTAGGGTAATAATTAGTTTCACAGAATGAGTCAAGTGTTCTCTACTTCAGTTTTATGGAAGAGATTGTGGAGAATTGGTATTATTTCTAACTTAAATGTTTGGTAAAATTCACTGGTGATTTCTAAATGTTTACTGGTGATCCTTAAATGTTTGGTAGAATTTGGTCCTAGTGATTTCTATCTTCGGAAGGTTATTAATTATTGATTCAATTTCTTTAGTAGATACAGAACTATTCAGGTTATCTTTTTCCTCTTGTGTGAGTTTTAGTAGTTTGTACCTTTTGAGTAATTAGTCCATTTCATCTAAGTTATCAAATTTGTAGGCATAGAGTTGTTAATAGTATCCTTCATTAAGAAGATAATGTCCTTGGAATTAGGAGTGATAACCCCACTTTCACTTCTGATATTTTTAATATGAGCCTTCTTTCTTTTTTTCTTGGTTACCCTGGCAAGAGATTTAACAGTTTTATTTATCTTTTCAAAGAACCAGCTTTTGGTTTTGTTGATTTCCTCTGTTGTTTTCCTGTTTTCACTTTCCTTGATTTTGTCTCTAATATTTCTTTTTCCCTGTTTGCTCTAGGCTTAAATTACTCTTCTTTCTTTAGTCTCCTGAAGAGAAAGTGTAGACTATTGATGTTAGAACCTTCTTCTTTTCCATATATGCATTTAAGCTAGAAATTTTCATTTAGTTCAAAGCATTTTTACATTTTTCTTGAGAATTCTTCTTGCATTCATGTGTTGTTTAGAAGTGTGTTGTTTAATTTCCAAATATTTGGGTTTTCCATCTATCCTGTTATTGATTTCTAGTTTAATTCTACTGAGAGCATACTTTTATGATTTCTATTCTTTTAAATTTATTAAGGTGTGTTTTATGACCTAGAATAGGACTCTCTTGGTGAATGTTCTATATGAGCTTGAAAATAAATATGTTCTGATATTGGATGGAATGTTCTATAAATGTCAATTAAATCAAGTTGATTGATAATACTGTTCGACTATATCCTTATTGATATTCTGCCTGCTTAATCTGTCAATTACTGGACAGCGGCATTGAAGTCTTCAACTCTAATAATGGATTTGTCAGTTTCTCCTTTCAGTTCTATCAGTTTTTGCCTCATATATTATGACACGTTTGTTAGGTGCATATACATGTTTAGGATTATTATGTGTTTTTCTCAGAATTGATCCCTTTATCATTATGTAATGCCTCTTCTGATCTCTGATAATTTTCCTTGTTCTTCTTTGTCTGAATGTATGTAACTACTCCAGCTTTCTTTTTTTGTCCAGGTTTCTTCTGATTAGTGAAGATCTTTCTCTGTTGCTTTACTTTTAACCTCTCACTCTTTAAATTTAAAGTGAGCTTCTTGTACACAATATATAGTTGGGTTTTTTTTTTGTGTGTGTGTGTGTGGTACGCGGGCCTCTCACTGTTGTGGCCTCTCCCGTTGCAGAGCACAGGCTCCAGACGCACAGGCTCAGCAGCCATGGCTCACGGGCCCAGCCGCTCC